CCCGATAGCCTTAGCGCAAAATGAAGAGGGAGCGAAAAAAACAAGTGGAGGAAATTTGTGGAATCCCATCTGAGATTGCTTCCCTGATGGATTCCTTTTCCTGTCAGCTCAGACGAGAAATGAAGCCGGGGAAAATTAACTCCTGATACAGCTACGCCGAATTAGACAGAGAGAGGGGGGAGCAGCAGAAAAAAAACTACACACTTTTTAAGGATTCCAGCCTTGTCATTTTCAATTTTCTGCTCTTTGGACATGCTTGTATTCAGATTCCCCAACATCTATTCGCCATATCAATCCTAATTAGACAATCTGGGCCCACGAAGGATGAGAGCCGGCTTATTTGCATAATTTAATCATAAATACTCAGTGATACATATTTCCAAATGCATTTGTACAATTATCTTTTCATCCTTGGGGCAAAAGTATTAATATGATTAGGCAATAATTCTTTAAAAAAGAGGGGAAAATAGGAAACCAGCAAGTGTGCACTCTTTTTTTAACTCCAGCTTTGGGCTATATGAAAAATTAATTAATTTCTGAGGAAAATCAATTTCTATATGTGACCATATTAGACAGAGGCACATTCCTTCTCCAATCAGGAAATCTCATCTGCTGCGGCTAACTTCTGTCAGTAGTGTTTAACATCGTGATCCAAGTGTCAGTGACTCGCGCCATGCTCCCTAAATGTGCTGTAATGTGAACGAGCTGCTGAGTACAGACAAGCCTGCATTGACTGGAACAAGTGGGTAAAATCACACTGACCTGAAATCTATGGCTGGCCTGTCAGGTAATTAAGAGTAAAACATCAGGTACAAGCAGAGTGGGATCGGCTTCAATATGCCAGATATGTCAAATTGACACATGCTCAACAGCTTTGGTCTGTTGTCCATAAAAACAGACGGCTAATGCCTCTTTTATGGCTGATTAAAATAGGTCACTCCAGCAGACAGATCGCTGGAAACTTGGTTTAAACCACTTCACTCTGCACCAGAATTAATTGGTAATTTTATTGCTGATCCAGTACAGGCATGCAAATAAGATAGGAGCTTGGACAACTAATACATCCAACAGGCAAATTAACAATACAGGCTTCTTTGCCTCGCAAATAGCCTCTAAATCCACAAATGACAGTGTCAAACAAAGCCTCTTTAACAAGTGAAATCTGGGGTCCGTCAGCCTTGGCTCAGCTTGATTGCACGATACAAAAACATACTTTCTATCGTCTTAATAGAAATCAAGTAAATGAATGTAGCTTTGGTTAACCAAAGTGCAAGGATTTTTACAGAAAATGTTTTTAATTTGCACTTGTTCCAACTGAATGAATGTCAAGCAACCAGCTATTCTGATTTTCAAGGAGACTATTTGTTCATGAAAAAACACCTTGACGCCATCTGCCAACTGCACAGTTGACTTGAGCACTCGTACTGTACCTAATCAAATTTGGCACAGCCCCGCTGGTGGATAAAATATATTAAATAAAGAAAGAAATATATTTTTATGGTTTTTATGTGCAAACAAACACCAAATGCCAAAACTAATTTGACTTTCAAGAAAGTACTTGAATCAATTTGGATTTTAAACAGCTTTGTATACCATTATCTCTGTTTTCCCCTCTCATTCTTTCCCTCTCTCTAATCAGGCATCTGTCACTCTGTTTTTGAAGTTATTATCGCCAGAGCTCCCTCTTGGATGTGGTTGCTGGGTGACGGGTATCTTAGCACCCACTCTAACTGGGAATGATTTGAATGGAATCCAGAAATCTCCCCTGAGTACCTGTAAACACATCCGTGCCTTGTAGAAAACAAATATATTATAAGAGAGCTCAGCGGAGGAAAGGAAGCAGAGAGACAAGCTGGCACCCTCTGTGGCAGCTCACACTGAGCGCTAAACAAAACAATTACCGTCATTTGCAAATATGTGTGTTTAGGCATAAACACTCTGGAAACAGGAACAAGAGGTGATCTCTCTCATAACGCTCACTGTCATCGCACTATCAATTAGATGTATTTGTTAAAGCTAAAGTCACTTGAGCGCGACCGCCACTTGTAACATTCACAGTCAGATATGTTGGAGACGGGGAAATCTATTTAAGAAGGGCATGTAAGTGAAAAGCCGTTCCATTCCCAGCGGTGGGACATTGTCTGGGGCGTACGGTTAACCTTCAGGGGTAGACAATGATTGTCAATTAACTGCTGCATTTCTGAGCCCTAGCGTCGAACTGCCTGCCTCCAAAACACAAAAGCAAACCAATGAGAGATATGCGATATCTGTGCACCGCCCCTCGTGTTATAATAACCTTTCAGAGAGTTCAAGTGTCACGCAGCAATAAGAACCTTTTCCATCCCACCGCAGGGAAAAAGAAAAGGAAAACAAGTAGCTGGAACAGAGGGGGCTCCTGGAGGGCTCCTACAGGGGCCACGGTCAGAATGCAGGGGAGATTACTGAACCTGCATCGGGGCGGGAGCAGGACCACTACTTTAATCTGACACAAGAGTACTCCACAAAATGAAGGGCTGCAAAATTACAACATTAGAAGTATGTATAAAATCATCACCACTACCTGCTGCATTAGATTTTTTTTTTCTTATTTCTGGTTCCTCACCATTAAATTCCTGTGCATTAAAACTCTGGAAAAGTCCCTTTATGTATTGTAAAATTGTTATGACGATGTGGGGAATTTTGTCTGCATTTGTTTGTGTCCACATGAAAAGTAAAACAGCAGGACGCAGCGGTGCTCTGTGATGCTATTCACATTCACACTGTGTGCAAAATGAGAGGTCTGTTTTAACACAATAGAGCATGGGAGGGGAAAAACAGCACGTGAAATAGTACAGCCCTTTGTATGGCAGAAGTATTCAGTGCATTGTCATCAGGCCACTGTACTGTATAATAAAACAGTCACATTGTAGTAATAGGGCGAGATGAAAAGCTCAAGTGTCTTTCTGGCGGCGGGCTGTTGTTTTGTAACCTGAGCTGGTTAACCTGTGATCCCAGCTACTATTTTATCTACTACATGTTGGTGCTTTACACTACACCACAAGTTGTTTTCACCAATAGGCCAGCCGGTGTCCTGTTTAACTCTGCACGCCTTATTTTGTCAGCTGCAATGAAATGACAGACGAAACATCCCAGCAAATAAAATCAACTCTTTTTAAATAACCTTTTATCTCACGGATGCCTGGCCTGTTCCATGATGTAATTCTCCAAATGGGGCAGGCAGGCAGGAGAGGCGGGCGGGCGGGTAGGCAGGCCCAGGTCTGAGTGATTGATTTCAGCCAAAGCATGGAGAGAACCTGGCTGCTTTCAAAGACAATTACAGTGCTGTCCATGTGCCCGTAATAGCCTAGCACTTTAGCGTCATTAAAGCGACGCTAGGCACTGCATTATCCCTTAACCCCATCGCCGGCCATCCCTCCATTGACAACCCCCAGAGTTCACTCGCACACTCCGTCACCTGAAGCCCCCCGATCTAAGAGACCGGACTGGGGAGGAGGAGGAGGAAAGAAGCTACATATACGGATGGGTCTCGATATTATGGATAAGAGGGGGTCAGCTTTGTCAATGCTTTATGTAAATTATGCTAAATGACAGACAAGAGCAGGTGAAATATAAACTCAACGGTTACTTTCAGAATTAATAACAGAACATGCATCAAAGAATTATGAAAAAATGTGAAGGGGATGAGCAGATAATGTACCTAAAATGTGTGAAAACATAGTATATAGTAATGTATAATACAATATTATGAAATTGCTGTGAAATGTAAAAGTTGTATGGATGTAAAAGTATATGGTCATATACAAAAGAATAAAACTGTATATAAGCTTTATGTAAAATAGATTTGACTGCCTATAAATGCAATAAATAAGTAAAATAAAACATTGAATTAATGCAGTTTCCTTAAGGGCTAAGTGCTTCCATAGTAAGTACTCCAAGTGACTTGAAATGTTTATTACTATTCCCCACTGATATGAGCCTTTCCATCATATTTGCATTTCCAGCTCATTTTGCGACTAGCAGATCAATAGAGAATCAATCATGTTGTCAGGTAAAGATGGTAAATTTGACCAGGCTGAACCATCCGCAGAGACTGAGTGATACATCATAGCTGTGAGCAACAGGACAGTAAAAATGCCCTTTAATCAAATATTGATCCTATAAGCTTAAATCACTCTATAATTCAACTCATAAAACTACATATATTTCATTTGGTAATGGGGGGTAATGCACTCATTTGGTGATGGGTTCCTGGTGAATCCTGGTATTTTATATGCTTTAAAAATATTAAGGCTGTAATGGTATAATAAACTTAAAGAGTAAAGTTATATTACTTTGTTCTCTTTCATTTATTCTCAAATGTTCTGAAAGTTTTAAAAGTCATTCAAAAGGTAAAACACAAAAGTATAAGAAAGAAGGCTGAAAAATTTAGTTAATTGTTTTATTGTTAATATTTGTCTAATTATTTGTTTTACACTAAATAAGCAGTCTACAATGTGTAGCACCACTTTTAAGAAGCCTGCCTGTCAATAACCAATTAGTTAAATTTAAATGTAATAAAACACTAGTTAAAGGTTTACTCTATGATATTTTGCCTAATTATGAAAATTAGTTAGGTTGATGTAATTTTTTGCTGTGACAGTTTGGCATCTAAAGTTTATTCAAGACAAGTGTAGAAGGGACTACATTATCGATTCATTTGTTCTGAAGAAGACAGGCGATCCATCATGATGGCCCAACTCTGCCCTGCACGTGTTAAAAAACTTTCACACAACTTTTTTCCCCATCTCTCCGGTAGCGACGTGCGCCTTTACCGCATCATTTTCATGCCGGCATGGCTTTGGCACACACACGCAAAAACTAATTTGAACATGAATGAGGCAATTATTACAAGTGTAAAGCGCTAACACAAGTATTGGTTTGATACGAGCATCGCTTCGCACTTTCCTGCGCCTTTACGCACCAGGCACAAAACACATCCACACTATCCCACAAGCACTGACCTTGCGTTCGTGCAGTCGTTGTAGAGCGTCTCGAAGTCTTTTCTGGAGATGAGTTTGCAGCGGTTCACGCCAGGTTGGATGGCGCCGAGCCCTCTGAGGATGCGGACCTGCTCCACGTTGCACACGACCGGCGTGATCTCGAGCCGCTTGAGCTTGGTGTAAACGGTGTGCAGTCCGCCGACCAGGTGCTTGAGGAACAAGTCGAAAGCTTGTGGCAGGCAGATGAGCTCGCAGCCGTCCACGGTGAAAGACGCCACTTTGGCACCGCGTAACTCGACCATCTTGCACTCGTTGTTCTGCGGTATGTTTTCTACTGGAGACGGCGTGGAGTAGACTGGTTTGTTCGGGTTGGGGAGACCCGGGCTGCCCGTGGCCAGGAGCTCCGATCTGAAGAGATTCTGCGCTGCTGCTGCTGCTGCTGCTGCTGCGGCTGCTGATGACGGCGGAGGAGCGACGAGAGATGGAGACGGGGACGAAGTTGTCGACGGCGGAGACGTGGTGGCAGATGGAGTGGGGATCGAAGGCGGCGGAGGGACCAGAGGAGTCGGCGGGATGAGAGCAGCCGGTACGGCCATGGTCACCTACAGGAGGGAGCGAGAGGACGCGCCGAAGTTCAAAGTAGAAAAGCCAGCCTGAAGAGACACCCCTGAATAAAAAGAATCCACCAGAGTTTAGTTCCTCACATAAAGTTAGCAAGTCAAAAAGAAAGAAAGAAAGGCGTGCTGAGTGAGTTTTTTCTTTCTCTTTTTTCTTTTTCAGAGGGAGGGGGGCTCTCAGCGACGGGACAATGATCAAAGATAGGGGGAGGAATGACAGGAGGAAAATGAGCTGAAAAGTGCAGCTCCGCTCTGTGGATGAGTTGTTGTTGTCACACGGTACAGAGGGGCGGAGCTACGGGGACACTCCGCTTTGAAGAACACGCTGCTCTTTGCTCTGGCTCCGGTTTGGGTGCTCACTTCACAGGGGCCGCAAGTTGTTGAAATGTTGCACCGTACTCAATAAGATAAATGTTTTTAGAATGATACGCGATGCGATACAGGTTTTACCTCGCTAAGCACAGCAAAAGTAATAAAAGAGGCTTTCAAACTCTACACCTGCCATGCACTTACATCTTCAATAAACCCTCTTAATAACAATGGAGCCAACATTTAGCCTTTTTTTTTTTTAGTTTAGTTTTTTTTTTTTTTTTTTTTTTTTTTTTAAGTTTTGCTTACCTAACTATTGCTTTAATACACTGTAGTAACAAACAATAATTAACAGGCAAGACTATACTTCCTATTCTGATCCCTTTTATCCAATAGGCTAGACCTGCAAATAAAAGTCTATATCCATTTTAGATCTTATTGATTCCTCACCCTGATAGTATAGGTCTAATACTGACCTGATTTAACAAGTCTGAAAGAGGAACTAAATAGGTTCTACACAAAACTGTGATCCATTGAAAACCTTTTGAAAAGAGAAGCACATCTTTGCAAAGTAGTTCAAATGTACAGGCGAAACAGTGACAAAGTGATGAAAATAAGGGTCAACTTGAGCTACTATAGGCCTTGCAAAAGTATGCTGCTGATAAGCAAATAGCACATTACTTGCATAACTACTTTCCAGTTTTGACCATCTGAAAATAAATCAAAACTAAACTTTTAATGCTCAGAGTAAAAGTGTTAAAATGTTTAAAATAAGGCATCACGAACATAATCACAAGTTAATTTTTCATTTTTATTTTGCCAATCATACTGGTTCTCCACACCGCTAATATACTGTCTGGGGATTTTGCAGTTCCTAGATGGAGAGTGATTCAGTGCCTTATAAGTTGTCATACGCTAAAGTTTGACTGTAATTACTGATCTCCAGCTCATTGCATTGTGAAAGAGCTGCACTATCAATCTCTCATGTCAGCAGTTGTTACAAATTTAGTGCATTTCGCAGATGATTTATGATGTTGGAGGATTAAATGAATATTTTTAAGTACAATGTCTGGCCATATAGGGTATTAGAAATAACATTTCTACTACTATTTCAATTATAATATTGAAATATTGTTGAAAATAATAAAAAGCATTTTTAACAAATCTATAAAATTTGTATTCACTATGTCTATTTTTATGTATGCAAAGAACAGCAAATTACAAAATAAACTTACATTTGAAAGTGTTATAATGCCATGGTAAAGAAAAAAAATAAAATAGCAGAAACAACAGATGCAGAGTGTCTCATGGTCATTCAGATTAATGCACAGTAAAAGCTGCTTAGAAAGACTTCAGCCTCTGGAGGGCCATGAACTAAACTGAGTCACATCAGCAGACATACAACAAGAAAGAAAGAAGAATGTATAGCTCATTTGTCTGTTCATTTTTGTGTTTTCAAAACAATTAAATAATTGAATTTGTCTCTGACAAAATAACAAATTAACTATATATTTGGAAACAAAAGAAAAAATGGTCCCAGGGCAAATCCGTTTGCCAGGAAGCGACTTTTTCTACACTTCATCCACTGACTCAAGACCAGCATGCTTCTGCTTCTACATTATATTGGTCAAACAGCACATTTCATAATTGATTCATATAAAATCAGCTACCTCTTTAAGTTGGTACAGTTCAGTTATGTTAGTTCTGATGTGAGTTATATTAACAATAGAAGAAGAGCACAGTAAATGTGAATATATGTATAATTTCATCATACTTTTTACACCGAATTATACATGATTCTCTTGTGAGTGTACAACTGGAATCTATAAAAATGCATGTACAGTATTTTCCATTGCCTGCATTATTTACTATGCAAAGCACATCATTTCCTTATCAGAGTGGACAGTGGAGTTGTCCTAATATTCTCTCTGTGTTGTCCTGTTGTTTCAGATCAGCGTTAAGATAAGCACTGTGCCATTTCAAAATTATCATTCAGGGAAAGATGTGGCTCGTAGTGTAAAATCAATAGCTGCTTAAAATTCATTGCCAGCCAATCCATTTGCCCTTTATGTTGCTAACCTTTCACTTAAATATGCACCATATTAAGATTTCATTATATACAATGAATGTCACAACAGTTTGCCCACCACACCTCTTGTTTGCATGGGTTAACTGCAAATCATTTGGCTTGTAATGTGTGAAAAATGACCTTCGTTAAGGGTATGTATGTATATAAAAACAAGCTACAGCATATCTTAATACGCATTAGAAAGCACCACAGGATATCGGTCTGATGTTTTAGACACAAAAGCCTTTTAACAAACTGGGTGGGCTGCATGTGACCAGAGTTATGAAAACACAGCTAAAATCACACAGAGGCCTGTATACCACTGCTGTATGCATTAGGCATGTGCATCATTCAAATAAGCAAAACAACTTAAGTGGAAACATATGAAGGAAGTACAGCACAAATAATATACATGTTATATTGTACGGTAAATATTTCAGTAGTGGCAAGAAACAAATGTGCAGTAAAATAGAGATTATTCCAGTAATTGATAATTGTAAAAAAAAAAAAACAGTGAAGGAAAAAACATTTAGTCATTGTTATTTATTCCACACTACAAAAAAGTAAACCTAAATGTAAAGTGCTGGTAGTTTATGTTACATGAACTTTGTTCAAAAAGTGTGATTTCATAAAACTGGACTTACTAACATAATGCTTATATTAAAATTTGACTAATACTACCACAACATACTACATATCACATGATATCACAGACACCTCCCAGATTAACTATCCAACCAAAGTCAATCGATGCTGATACTGTAAAAATTAGTCAGATTATGGATCGGTTCCATGATATCAGTTCAGCGGATATTCTGGTTGGGCCTTTTAATTGGATATAATTGGCCTGGAACGCCTCATAGTGTGTGAATGTTTATTCATACAAAGCTGTCCAGTAGTTATTTTAAGGATAAATAACAGTTACATAACACAGTTGGATCTCTTATGTAATAAATTCGCAGTGTTTTAAGGAAATAAGTGCCATTTTCTGTCCCTACACTTGCATTTGTTAACATCGGGTATCAGCATTGATACCGATCTTGGAACTGAAAAAGCTGTATCGGTGCTTCCCCCTAGTTTTTGAGTAAAAATGCTTTTAATCTTCAGTCAAATATTTAAACTTTTATTCTGTCACATTTGAGGACAACAATATCTCACAATAAAATACAATAGTACAAAATACAAGTACCAAGTTTTAATATTTGTTTGCACTACAACGTTTGAGATGATTATTGCACCAATTGCTTAATAGTATAATAAAATTTCAGAAAATATTTACTTCAGACGATGGCATTTTTAGCATCCACTCTTTCTGCAGTTGTTAACTTTGTATCATTTAATAAAAGGCCATTTGTGTAAAGTTTGCTTTTGTTATTGCGTTTGTGAGAAGTCCAGTATATGTGGATAAGAGCGCAGTAAACAAATGGCTGCGTCAGAACTTAATCACCCTGAATGATGAATTACATCAGGAAAGTGCTGGAAAATGTATGGATATGGGACAAGATTTGTGCATGATCAATGACACACTATATTGTTTGATGTAATAATTTATTCAGCCCATAAAGGTTTGATAAAACAATGTTGAAAAGCAATTTAAATTGAATTCATTTAAATGTCAATTCTCATGGTTAGGATTTTTCTATAATTGGCTATTTAATTAAAATAATTTTCATAGTCATTAATACAGCCAGCAACTTGTAGCGCCCTGACGTCTTTTAATTACATGGTATTAACAAAATTGATATGCTTTAGAAAGCATGGTGAATAAGAAATAATTAGACCAATCATACATCATCCTCTTATGGACATTAAGTGTATCACAATATAATTGATGAAGTTCAAAAACGAGAGAGATAAATAACTTTAATTGTGGCGAGTTGCAGTACAAAGAATCCCACTCACGATGTATTATATTTCAAAGGCAATTCATTATCTGTAACATCACTTAGCCGTGTGTGCCCAGAACGCTCCCGTAACCTATGATTACATGACATGTGAACGCACCACGGCTGTGTACTCTTTTAAATTGTCCTTTTACCTCATCTGCATTAATCTCCTGACTGCAGGCAAATAAGAGGGCAGAGGCATCTTCAAACATAAGAATCATTTAGATGCTCAGAATAAAGCGTGTATTGATCATGCATATTTGTTTCTCCAAGGTTACACTGCCCTGACCCCATCTATCCTGCGACAGCGGCCAACACAAACATGCCACCTTAGTTAAAACACAACGCTGGGTGCTGTGGTGGAGGGAGGGAGAGAGAGATGTTATTTTTAAATTCTGCTAAATTAACCTGGACTTCCTGTTCCAGATATGACCAAAAAGGGCTGATAGGATGAGATTACTTTATAGGATGAATAAATGCAAATTTCTAATAACTTTACTAGTAAGGATAAATACAGTCATACATTTTAAACAAAAACATTTGATATTAGTAATAGGGCTTTGAATGACAGGACTATACATGACATGATACACAACACCATATCACAAAATCCCAATACATATTCAGTTATTACACCCTATGGGACAAGAAGCAGTGGTTTTAACAGCGAGAAAAAAACAATCTTTTTAAGTAGAGACATGTACTACTGTTGCCTACACAGAGTATAATTACTGAAACACTGAGGAGTGAAGCATGAGGTTGGTTAGCTTTGCTGTAAATGCAAATATAGAGATGAAATGATCAGGACAAGTAGTGGACTCAAAAAACCCTGAGCGG